TTTGTTTGATATTGCCCCTGCTATCCCATGGCCCGAGTGGTGCGGTGCGGTGCGGGCTCTGCGTGGCACTGCGAGCGGAAGGGGAGACGGGGCTGCGGGTGGGGCAGGTCGCTCTGGACCTCTGCAGGGTCTGCCCGAGGTCCACCACCAGCATTGCTGTCTGATTTCCCATCCATTCGCCTTAAATGCTAAAGAGACACTCGCATCTAAGGTTGCAGCAGCTAAAAGATTTCACCGTTTTACAAATATTTAATATTTGGAGTCAACCCCCACTGTAAGATAAATGAAGTCCCAAGCCTTTGTGTCTGCGGATCGCTCTGTGAGCACTAAACAAACACACATGCATATACTTTGTATTTAAAAAAAATAATAATAATAATGGGAAAGGCTTTAAAAGCACAGACCCAAATACACATTCGAAAATCATTTCCGTCATAAACAGCTGGGGATTTTATAGCTCGCTAGCTGTCAGCTTCATCAATAGGAATACCAGAAAGTTTTATATGATAGGCGTGCACTAGATTATATTATACGCCATAAAAATTTTATAGTAGGAGGCAAAGGAATGCAAATGCTTTAAAAGTTTGTGCTCCTTTCATATGCGGGTCATTTTCCGTAGGAGAAACCTTTTCTTGTTATAGGGAACCATTCCGGGCGCAAACCGTTCCCGATTACTCAATACACAACAACACCGTGTTGCTTCAAGTGCCTGGTTAACACACAAACACGTCCACGCACACACCCGCTCAACTCCTGCTTTAGGAACCTGGATGCCATCTCGGGTTGTAATGGTCTGCAGCGAAAAGCTTTGCTCCCATTATTTTCACATTTCTGTATGCGGTTTCTAGAGCGCATTCTCGCAATGCTGTGGACAGAAATTCAAGAGCTATGGGAAAGGAAAAGATCACTAAAGCCCATAAGCGTCTAAACCCGCCCGCACTGCAAGAAACTCTCTAACAACGAGAGAAACTTCGCTGGAAATGACAACTTCTCAGTAGATTCGGCCCTCCCCCGTCCGAAGCAGAAGAGCTGAAGTCACTGCAAACAAGGAGCGCGTTCAGATTTTGCAACCCGCTTTTAAAATTCGGAACTCAAGCGACTCCACACAGCCGAACTGTGCAGAAATATTCCCAGATCCTAATTGTTTTCGGAGTGAAAAATGTCACGGAGAATAATCGCCTGGAATCGAGAGATAGAGCACCTATCTGAGCTCTTTTTTTTTTTTTTTTTTTTTTTTTTTTTTTTTTTTTGGCGCTGTGTTTTGGGGATTAATGCGTGCGAGTTTGTTTTAGTTTAGGCACAGCAAGTGGCGTTCAGAGCATTGAAATACAGTTTACTTAAGCCTTTGAAAGAAATACTTGAGTATAGTGTGTCATGTCTAAGCGTAGGGCCAATTAAAGATTAGGCAACCCTCTTAATGTGGGTAGCCAGTGACTTTGGAAGCCATAACTTTCTCTAAACCAGAAGTGTAACAATTCGCTTGAAAGTCATCCGTAAATTACAGCTTCGCTGCGCTTTCTAAGCCCTGCAAACGCCCTAATTGCAGAACATTACAGGGAAATTTTGATTCTGCCATTTCCTTACAGTTAATAAGTGCGTATCTGTGGAAGGGTGACAAAAGAAGGGTTTGCAATCTGCTCCATGGGAAATTGAATGGAACAGATCGCGAGGGGCGGATCGGGAGGTTTCGATTTCAAACCCTGAATACTGGAGCAATGCCTTTTCCCTCCCCGCAAATACAGATTTAACGCATTAGCTGCACACATAAGTAAATCTCCTCACCAAGTGAAACCATCGCTTCGCTTTCTCACCTTTCCCTTCCTGCCCCCCAAATATCCCCGATTTATTGTTAGATAAGCGCAAAAGAACACAGCTCCCACTGTCGCCTGATCATCTTCGAAAATATTACCCCTTTTAAATGAAAGCATCCTCGCTAACGTCTCTCTGGAAGGCAAATACTCATGGACCGTCGCAGTCACATGCTCGTGGGGCTGCACGCACAAACGACATCGAATCTTATACAAAGAGAGTGTAAAATTCGCGAGGATTTCGCTTTATGGCACGCGTAAGGAATCTTTCCTGCAACCCCCCAAAAAATGGCTTTTCAATAATAATATTTGCTATGAAGGTTATTGGGTAATTATTGCAATTTTGTGGAACAGTCCTTGCTTGAGGTGAAGTCTGTCTGCGGATAACAAATGGCAGCCCGTGCAGTTCACTGCCAGGTTAAGTAAATGCAGAAAAGATAAATCTGCACACCCTAGGAATCACCAGCAGAGCTCGCTTTAGACCAAGTTCACAGTCAACTCGTTTGCCTAGACAAGGCTTCGCAAACAATTAGAGTTGTTTCTTTATGCTTAAATCAAGGAGAAATGACTAAGACCCTCGCAGCAGAGAGCTGCAGCTTTTCCCCCAACGCCGGTCCTTACGTCCTTCCAACCTCACGCCCAGAACTTACCCAGCATTTCACCTGCAATTGTAACCAAATAGCGCCTTAGAGTACAGGCTTCCCTCCAACGCTGCCGAAAGGCTGTGCAAACTGATTTAACAGCACTTTACAAAGCTGCCAGATTAAAGAAGAAGAAGAAGAAGGAAAAAAAAAAAAAAAAAAAAAAAAAAAGCAATAATTAAAAATGCAAAAGTATCCGATTTCTCATCAGCGAGAAGAAGGAAGGAAAAAAAAAATAAAAGCTTAGAAAGCTGGGGGGAAACGGCAGAACTATTGAAACAAACACTGCGAGTCTCTTACTCCTAAAAGAAGCTGCATAGCTTTTGTATATCTTTGTGGTTAAGGGCGTTACAACTGCAGGTCAAAAAGTTGAGGGTCAAAAGTTTACGTTTTGCACCACTCTTAGTCATTCGTCCAGACAGAGTTTGATGTCAATGTTATAGCCGAGATCTTGACTATCAGCACAAAAGATAAAATAGCTTTGAGTTACGTGTGTATCACAGTATGGACTCCAGGTGAACCCTACTGGCTGAATGACCTCAATTACCAAGGAAAGGATAGAAAATTCCTCTTTTCAAGAGTAATGCACGTTGTATTTCATCTTGAATTATCGGTCACATTTGTGTCTGAATATCTCGGGCTCAGCGCGGCAGGTAAACACGCGTGTCCCTCCACCCCAGAGCCGCCGCCGCCTCCCAGGGCCGGGGAGCGAAACGTTTCCCCTTGTTTATTATATCATAACCTGCTTTAAGAGGTTTAACGTTAAGCTTCCTCACTTTGCCAAACGGCAGGAAGATAAGATAGGAGCGGGGCAATTAACGCGCGTATCGATCCCCGCCGCGGCTTTGTTTTTGGCTCTCGTTTCTGTAACGCCATCTGAACCGCTCTTAACCGGGGCAGGACGCGGCCGTGCCGATGCGGGAGGGCTGTGCGGAGCGTTCCGGCCGCAGGAGCGCGGTGATGGCGCGGGGCTGCGGGGCCGCCTTCTGCAACCGCTGGAATACGGTGCTGGCTGCCAGAGCCGCGATTTGGATGGAGCTCCGAGCCTTCTGGAATTACCCGTCTCTTCCCAGAGGGATGGGGAGAGGCGAGGGTTGGTTTGCCTTCTCTCCTCAGCTAAAAAAAAAAAAAAAAAAAAAAAAAAAAAAAAGAATTTGGTGGAATTTTAGGGGAATTTCTTTGCGCTGAGTTATTTCCACGTTGCTGGCGTTTTGTTTTGTTCTCAGCGCTCGCGTCGGTGTCGAAGCCTTAGCCTAAAGATCTCGGCCGGGCGTGTCTGTGAGGAGAAGGGGCCGGAATCTCATGTGGGGACGGAGGGAGAGGAGACCACTGCAAATGGCAGGTTGCAGTGATGGGGATGAGGGGTGGCTGGGAGAGGGAAAGAACGTTCCGAAATATCCGCTAGCAGCTATGAAAGGTATGGAGGAGGGGACAGTGCCACGAGGAAGGAAGTCAGAGGAAGAGCGCACCTCACCACCATCCGTGCATAGCTGCCTTTCGAGCCCAAAGGCGGGAGCCTGTGCCGTCCTCCACGCACGGGCTAAGCGTGAATTATTTGCCAGGGACACAGCTGGATCGTGGCAGCCGGACGATATTTCTTGGGAACACGTGCGCGTGGTGTGAGATTTCAGATCAGCCCGACTTATTGCTGGAGGCTTTGCCCGCTGTACCTGCCGGAGCGCAGCAAGGTGTGCGAGCATTTGCTCTGCGTGGGGATGTTGTTCCCGAGCTCCTGCTGCTGCTCCTTTACAGTGAGCCCTGGCACTGCCCATTTGGAGAGCCTTCCCTCACCGCAGATATTGTTTAACCTTTCACATCTAAAGTATTTATTTGGTGTAAGAGAGAAGCCTGATAACAAGCTAAAAGCCGTGGCCAAATATCTATTTTGCTAAAGAATAGCGGGCAGATTGTTTCCAAGAACAACAATGCGTCTTTGATACACCCAGAACGAAAGCTGCTACTATAACTGGGTTACTCAAGAGTAGGTGACGGAAATCCGTTTGCTTCCTTACCAAAACAATTAGCCGCTCGGATTCCATGTTTTTCAGTCTAGCCTAGGATAAAAATATCATTGAGAATATTTTCAAAGAAGTTGAAACTTCGGCTTCGGGAAATACCGAATCTTTCGAATTGGTGTCTGAATTATTCCCTTAAAATTAATATAATAAGAGGGGAAAAAAATGAATTATTTGAGGCGAGCTCTTTCTTCCCTTCAGCTCTTTGCTTTACAGCACGCCGCTCTTCGGCGTGGAAGCTCCGGCCCAAAGACCATTCATTTAAAATCCGGGCGCAAATCACGTTTTACGTGTGTTTATTTAACCACGGCGGGACAGAGCGAGCACGGCCGCCAAACACGGCGTTGTTGGGAGCAGAGCCGCTGCCGGGGGAGTCCCCGCTTCTACACAACGCTGAACTTGGGGCCCAACGGGCTCGTCCCCCCAGTAGCGCCCGCGCGGAGCGAGCTGCGCGCCCGCGGAAGGCGGAGGCTGCCCCGGGGCAGTGCGATCCCCGGGAACAAAGGGGGGGGAATACAGTCGATACATTCCATAACGTTTACATTTTCCCGCGATTTTTTTCTTAATTTTCCCTTAGAAGTGGTGACCTGGGCAAAGCACCCCGCTATCTAAAAGGCGCTGTTATAGACCTTTTAGAAAAACTAAGTCCAAGGCCGAGGTGAACTTCAGGTCACCGCGTCTAACAAATATGAAAATGTCGCCTGGTGAAGGGCACGCCTTGTTATTTAACAAAGACTGTCAATGTGTAAGATTAATAAGAAACAAAATGCACACGGTGTCACTTTTCGGTCACTTTGAAACTCGGGACAGCCTCGCATTCAAGAGGGGAAAGCTGGGGCTAAATATATTCAAAATGGTTCAAATCAAATTCAACCCAGCCTGCGGGTGCGATCCTTCCTCCTCCTGCCCTTCTCTGTGGTGGGTGCCCGGGCACGGCGAAAGGTTGTCTTCTATTATTATTATCATTGTTGTTGTTATTATTATTACTCTCCTCGTTCTTATCTTCTCTTTTGTAATCCGTACGGTTTAGCCGCGGGCGCGGAGGGGAACGCGGTGTTTGCATGCTTCTCGAGAGAAAGAGGAACCCCCTCACCCCCTCTTTGCGTACGCATGAAGCTTCTCTCCTCGGTGCACGGCAATTAACTCTCTTACTCTCAACTTAATTCCAGTGCAGTCCCCATCTCCTCCTCGGCCGGGAGCCCCCAGCTTCAACATCGCTGATTAAAGGCTCCTTCCGCAGCTAACAGAGCCCCTGGCTCCTCTGTAAAAATAAGGGACCCGGCCTATTTTCCCTCTCCTTTTCTTTCTTTGAGAGGTTAGGATGATGCTACAAGTTTGCAAAGGGAAGTATCAGGGAGGGGAAAAAAAAAAAAAAAAAAAAAAAGGGAAAGAAAGAAAAAAAAAAAAAGGGTTTCAGAGATTGTTTATTACAGCCATAAATCTTGCAGTAAAATGTCGAAACGGCCGTGTGCAAGATAACACTTGGTGGTCTTGGCTGGGTTCTTGTTTATGATAACAAAACCACAAAGACATGGAACAGGCCTTTTGGAGGTCCTGCCTCAGCACATCTCCGCAGCCTGATAGAACCCCGCAGAAACAGGCTGAGCCCGGCACCTCGGGTCACCTTGTAGATTTACGTTCGCACACAGCACCGCATCCTTCTCCGTGCTACCCAGCGCCAGAGCCACACAGTAGAGAGGTGCAGCGAAACGAGTGATCTACGAGATCTAGTCGCGGTAAATAATAGGAAGCAGAACCCGCTCAGCTCGCCGGCACAAAGCTGAGCCTACAAATCGGGACAGTGGTTTTCGTTGCGTTTTCTCGTGCCTCGGGAGCACGGAGCCTGCTGTTCCGAGCTAGCCATAGAGCCTCCGGAATTGCCTTATGGCGAGGATACCGTGCCCGGCACCGCAGGGCAATGCATCTGGTGGCGGCCAGCAGGTATTTGTGCGTGCGTGCAGCTCTGCGCCGGGAACGTGCTTTGGGCTTTGGCAATCTTTTTCTTTCTTTCTTTTTTTTTCTTTCTCACTCTCTCTCTCTCCCTTTTTTTTTTTTTTTTTTTTTTTTTTAAAGGTAATGCAGGTGGAAGCTCTGATTTTCCAATCTGGTTTGCCGCGTTGTTGTTGTTATTTTTAATAAAGCAATCTCCTCGTTTCTGCCCAAAGTGTGCGGCTGCGTCTGTGTGCGTGTGTAACCGCATTTCCTCTCCACGCAAAGTAAATAGAGGAACTTATCTATTACCCCAGTTAAAGAGTTCCATAGATGTTCTGTTGGAAATGAGTAAGTAAATGTGTTTTAACTCTCTTTACAAATTAGCCATTCGATATGAGCAGGAAATGAGTGATTGTTTAGATAAGTAGTCCAGTATGCCCAAGTGCTGCAAATGTTCGAACATCTTACGATCCGCCTGCAATGTGCGTGTGTCCGTGTGTGTCAAATACAGATCGATACTCCGTGCGCCTACTTGGGTTAGAGCTTCAAATGGAAGTACACGTTCCCATTATCTACAAAACGGCTAAAGACAATAATCTGAATTTCAAGCAGAGTAGCTGTTAATGTCCTATCTTTAGGAGGGCGAGAACTAAAACGCGTCGTACTTAAGCCTGATGTATTAGATGCATTTTCCCACACCGGAGAGTGAGATTACCCACTCTGCAATTATATTCTCGAAGGACGCAGTAAACATTTCTGTGGGTATATACGCTCTCCTGTAAAGGGGAAAAAAAAAATCGGATAAGTTTGCTTCTAACTTCCTATCTGCAAGAGTAGATGGCGTTTGATAGTATTTTTTCCCCTTAGAATAAGAGCGTAATTAGTTTAACCATCAAATTTCAATTACCTAAGGTCAGGGCGGGTGCCTCTTTTCCCTGTGAGCTGAAAATATCGTTAACAGTCTCAGTTCCAGCAACGCAGCAGTGGCCGGGTGCCCTTTCCCTCCCTCGCCAGGCGTTCTGCGAAGGCGACAAAGATTTCTCTTGGAACTGAGAGTTCAGAAATTGAGCCAGCACCAGGCAAGCGAAGAGACAGTCTTACATTCGTAGCTGGAAAACGCAGCTCTGCGGGGAGGGATGTTCGCAGAGAGCCCTGCGGCAGCCGGTAGGAAGCGTTTATAGCACTGCGCCACTCTCCCTCTCCTCCCCGTTATTCCCCGCTCCCCGTGTCCCCCGCACCCCACAGTACACAGAGGGGCTCCCCTCGGCCTTCCCGCGACGTCCGCGCTAACTTTGGGATCTGCTCCTCCGGCAAGCAGGCTGCAGGGGGACGGGAGCTGCCGGCTCTCGGCTCGGGGAGAGGTTGCAGAGAAGGGAGGGGGTGAGGCGACCTCCACCCCGCAGCCCCGATGGAAGGTGTTGGGTGATGGGTGCTTGGAGAGCTATTGTGCAACTCCCCGCTCAGCGCCTGCCTCCCTTCTCGGACTGCGCTCTGCTTCCCCTGCCCGCTTTCTGACATGAAAGGAAAAAAAAAAAAAAAAGGAAGAAAAAAAAAAAAAACGACTAGTGTGAGGACTGTCAGTTCTGGATTAGTTTTATCTCTCTTGACACCGCGAGTGCCGGTCGCAGCCCGGGCGAGAGGAGGCGGCGATGCCGTTGAGCAGCGGGCACCGGGCGCGGCGAGGCCCGGGGAGGAGGCGCCGGGAGCGGCCCCGCGGTGGGGCCGTGGGCGCGGAGGTGCCCTACGGCCGCTCTCCCTCCTTCCATTTCCTGATCCGGGGTCCGCGGCCCCGCGCGGTAATTGGCGCTGGCGGTCAGGTGGTGATGGTGTGTCGGGGTGCGTGCGTGTGTGTGTGTGTGTGTGCGCGTTGTGCGCGCTCCAGGGGTGGGAAGAGAGGAAGGGAGGGGAGTGCGGCGGGGAGGGGGAAGCCGGAGGCCCAAACTTTGGCAGCGGCGAGCACTTGACAGCGGCGGGAGGGGGAGAGGGAGGGAGTGGAAGGAGGGGGGGTGGGGGGGGAAGGGGAGGGGCCTCGCCGAGCCCAGAAAAACGACAACGCGAGAAAAATTAGTATTTTTGCACTTCACAAATTAATGACCATGAGTTCGTTTTTGATAAACTCCAACTACATCGAGCCCAAATTCCCTCCCTGCGAGGAGTACACGCAGCACAGCGGCAGCGCCGGCAGCTCCGCCAGCTACCACCCGCACCACCCGCACCCGCACGCCCCACCACCGCCGCCTCCGCCGCCGCCGCCGCACCTGCACGCCGCGCACCCGGGTCCCGCTCTGCCCGAGTACTTCCCGCGGCCCCGCCGGGAACCCGGCTACCAGGCTCCCGCCGCGCCGCCGGGGCCGCCGGGGCCGCCTCCCGAGGCGCTGTACCCGGCGCAGGCACCCTCTTATCCCCAGGCGCCCTACAGCTACAGCAGCGCCGGCAGCGCAGCCCCGGGCCCCGAGCAGCCGCCCCCGGGCGCCTCTCCGCCGCCGCCGCCGCCCTCCAAGGGCCACCCCGGGCCGACCCAGCCCCTGCTCCCCGGCCATGCCCTGCAGCGCCGCTGCGAAGCGGCCCCCGCCGCCGGGGCCGGCACCGGGCCGGGCTGTGCGTTGCTGCCCGACAAGAGCCTGCCCGGGCTGAAGGGGAAGGAGCCGGTGGTGTACCCCTGGATGAAGAAGATCCACGTGAGCACGGGTGAGTCGCCCGGGGCAGGGGGAGGCCGGGATGCGCCTGCAAGGAGGGAAGGGGGGGAGGGAGCTGCTGGGGCCGGGATGGGTCGGTGCGTGTGTGGCTTTTTTTTTTTTCCTCCCTCCGCGTTTCCTA